CTCCAGACCTGACCCTCGCACCGAGCCTGGTGCCCGGCGGGTCGCCTCTCGGCGTGCGGGGGACACGCGGGTCCGGCCACGGGGCTGAGCCTTTCCCTGTCGCTACAGGGCTGTCTGCAGGGCTGCGACCCTGCTGCAGCGGGGGCTGCTTGCCAGCTCTCCTAGTAACGCCACGGAGTGCTGATGCGTGATAACGAGTTCTGTTCTTCCCCCAAAGTAGAATATTTGTATTAATTTATGACATCTAACAAAACTCAGTGTTTTTCAGCTGTGTTTTCTTTTAGAAATCATGTTACCAGTGTGAACTTATTTGTATCAGACAGTATTTCAGCTGCTATTTTGAAGAAGCGATTTATATTATTTCCACTCCTGGCTTATATTTCCATCACGTAATTCTGTGTGCATTGGGCTGCTACTAAATTTACTTGCTCCTAGTTTTAACCTTTCCCTTGAAAATTATTTTTTGGACAGCTGAAGAACGTAACTTTGCATCTCAGCTGTTTAAAACTTGGTATCTAAAGTGAAAGTTCTGTAAGAAACTGCCATTTATTTTGGCCTCTTCATTTTACACTCTGAATCAGAGCTACAGACTTGTGTGTTCATGTTGAAACCTGATAGCTGATTCAAGCATCTCTGTATAGCTCCTCTCAGCCTACTGCAGGGTAGAAACAAAGTTCTCATATTTCAGAGCAAACTGTTTTTAGGATGAAATGTCTCTGTAGTGACAATAGTGACTGAAAGACGGGGAAAAATAGGAAGTTAGGGAAGCTCTGAAGTTAAGGTGTGTTATTGTGGCCTACCTATTAACATTTTTTAATATATTTTTTTTAAAGTATGTATTGTTGCAGTCATAACCTTGTTTTGCATGTTGCTTCCCAAAATCCTTTGACCATGAAAATACTTCAGGTAGTAGGTGGAGTAGAAGAACACAATTGAACAGGCTCTGACACTTAAACGTCCGTGGTGCTGGTCAAGTGCTCTGGTATGCACAGTTTTACAGTTGCTGGTGTGTTGTGCAGCATAATGATGGATGAATTGTTGGTAGGCATGATTTGTTTAGCTCCCAAGTTAATTTTTACTGAGGTCTAATAGTTTATTCTGGCCTTAGTCCGATATGTGTGTGCTGTTTGTTCAGCAAGTATACTTCACTTGCAGGATAATAAATTCCATGGAACATGGCTGTAAAAAAATAATCTTAACATCAGTGGTTTACATACATATATTTCTGATTTATTGCCACAACTTAACATGCTTCTTAGCAAGCCGTTAAAATACTTACTATGATTATTCTAAAAGAAGGGGGTTTGATTTTTAGAGCTGTATATTTCTTAATTTCTTTGGCGGGGGACAGTGGTGGGGGAGAAGTTTTTACAGGAAGGTGTTTTATATAGTGGTAGTGAACTTTTTCATGATGGAAAACCTTTTGATGCTTTATTTGGTGGCTTAATTTCTGTGGATGGTGAGAACTTGGAAGGAGTGACCATGCACCACGTAAAGTTACCTTGATATGATCTAAGTGCAGCTGTTAACATGTTTTCACACTGAATTCTTCCCTACCAAACGTGAAAATTCTGTAATACTGCAGCAACGGACCGGCAAGCGGGGTATACTTATTAAAAAAATACATGTGATAAATAATTATTTTGGTAAAAATTAGAAATTACCTTTATTTAAAGCTCTGAACAGAGCTGTTAATTATTAATATATTGTTATTATATATTGTTCATATATTGCTTTCGTACATACTTATTAAAATGGATTATTTCTAAAAGTGAAAGAGGGAAGGTCACGATCCCCGTACTGTCAGAGATAGTTATTTGCAGCGTATTGGGGGTTGGTTCACTTTGTGGAGTGGCTGGCAAAAAAAGAAAGTTAAGTGAGCGCATCAGCCTTTGAAAGCTGAGAATGTGAAATGGAACTAGGAAGAACAAGACAGTATCTATTTTTTTTCCCAGTGTCTGGAAAAAAGTAAGGGGAGGGAACTAGACAGAACTTGGATGGAACTCTATTTTAATATCTGAGTAGACTCACGAAAACTAATGGTCGTTTAATCATGTTTCCTTTGCGAGGGGGAAGATCCTGTTGTGTTCCTCATCAGCTCCCCTATAAAGCATTACTATTTCAGTCTGATACTGATAGCAGACTTTTTTGTTAATCATCAACAAACATGAAAGCCCATTTACGTGTATCAAATAAAAATGAAAAAAAAGATATTTTTTAACTTGAAAACAAATTGACAGTACAGACTTTATCTCAGTGAGGTCTGGAACTGTCCAGATTCTGTCCCTCAGATGTTAATTACTTTGCAGATGGAAACACTTTAAACCACGTAATTGCTGGGAGCTGCTGCAGCAGCAGTGTCAGAGTGTGGTGATGGTGTTGACACCCACGTGTAACATCTGCGATGGCCAGACACGGGTTGTATCCTCTTGGAATGGCTGCGTGTATGGGAGCCTCACTGGGAGGCTCAGCAAGTCAGCACAGGGATGAAAGATGCTATTTTACATCAATTTTGGGTCCTCTGTGGTTGTTATTACTTCTCATTGGAGGAAAGAGTTTTGTTGAGTACTCTTTTTGTTTAAGATGTTTTCATCACGATGTTTTCATCATCATGATGATGAAACTAATGAGAGTACTACTGAATTCCATTGCTTTCTGAGAGCTTCTGAAGCTGGGATCAGTCTGAGTAGGAGAAATAGCAATAGATTTTGTGGTATTTGAATGCCATCAGAGAAAAGATCTGGAGAAGCAGGGTAGCAAGAAGAGGCACAAGGACAAAGAGTATTTCCTTTTACTTACTAAAGCTAAGTCCATAAATAATTATTGAGATTCTCCTTTAACTGAATACTTTAATGGTGGCTTCAGGGATTACTAACAGGAAAATTTGCATGATGATATATTCTTAATTTGTATTCTACCCCTTTGTGTTATGTTTAGAAGAACAAATCCCGTTAAGGTACCGCAGAGCTTTCGTCATATATCCAGTCTCATCCAAACTAAACAAATATGTGTGTGGATTTTACTTTTGTATCTGCCACCGTGTGCAATGAAGTATTTTCACATTGTTCTTGTTTAGCTCATTGATTGGGAATTATAATTCTTAGGATGATGTTTGCAACTAAGGTGTTTTCTTCCAGGGTATTTTAATAACTGAAAGTTATATTTTTTCCTACTTCGTTAAAATGAATTATCTAAAATAATAAAAAGAAAAGTCTCCAGGCTTTTCTTCATAATTGCATGTTGCACTGCTGGCACAGTTTGTTTTTCATACACTGTTTATTGCTTACTGGAATTTTCCATTTCTATTATTTGAAGAAATGGCTGTTATAAATGACTAAATTTTCCATTTTCTGTTGTGTTATTACATTGACACAATTTTCTGCTTCACTAAATCAAAGTGTTACGTGGCATGACAGCTGCAGTACAGTTTGTGAGACATAAGTAGTCACTAAGCATGGGGAAAAAAATCTCCATAGTGGAAAGCTTCTGTAAAATACTGTTTGTAAACTTGAGCAGGCTATTTATTCCTGTTCACCTGAAATTAAGATTTCTTTTTCCTTTCACTTATGTGTATGTTCTGCATTTCATTACACTTTTCCATAGCCTCTTGCTTTGAGGAGCTAGAGGAGAGAAAATGCACAGTAGTAACAAGTAGAAGTGGGTATGTGTGTGATCAGCAGTACTGTGGCTGCTACGAGACTATGTTTACTCTCCCAGATTTTGCTGAACTATTTTTACTCTGGAGGAGGAGTGGGGCTGGCCACAGTTCTAGATGATTTTATGTTGTTTTACTTAAGACTAGCTATAGTTCCTCAACTTCTTTTTTTTTTTTTCCTTTCCTTTTTTTTTTTTTTTTTCTTCATTCTAGGCTTTCTGCTTTGGATTTTGCAAAATGAATATTGCATTGTTTCACAAAGGTTGGACCCTCCAGTAGAATCTGTCAAGATCAGTGCACGTAAATCCAACAGCTTATTTTTCTTGAAGACTTCTGCACAGCTTTTAAAGTTTTCATCACAATGAATTCGGGCTTATGGAGTCAAGAAAAAGCAAGTTCATCCTATTGGGAAGAGCGCATCTTTTACTTGCTTCTCCAAGAATGCAGTGTCATAGACAAGCAGACTCAAAAGCTCTTGAAAGTCCCCAAAGGTAGCATTGGGCAGTTTTTTCAAGACCGTTCTTCTGTGGGACACTCCAGAAATATTCCTTGTAAAGGCAAGAAGCTGCAGATTGGATTAAAGATTCTGGAACAACCTCATGCCATCCTGTTTGTGGATGAGAAGGATGTTATAGAAATAAATGAAAAACTAGCTGAGTTGCTATTGGCCATTACTAACTGTGAGGAGAGATACAGTCTGTTTAAAAGCAAAAGCAGGTTAACTAAAGGCGTCCAAATAGATATTGGCTCACCTGTTAGAGTACAGCTGAGATCAGGAGATGATAAATTTCCTGGAGTTGTTCGCTTCAGGGGACCCTTATTGCAAGAAAGGTCCCTAACAGGGATATACTTTGGAGTAGAGTTGCTGGTAAGTTTCTTGCTGAGGGGGAGCATCATATATATTTTATAAGATGAGCTAAAAATCTTGTATTTCAAGAGGTAGTCATAATAATTTTCTTTTTTGAAGCATTATTACCCCTAAAAATTCTGTAATCAGCAGTCTTTTCATAAGCATTGTTATTAAATACCTGTCAACACACCATATCACATTAGCCTTGTATTCTTACATATTAAGTGAAGCTTTATGAGGTGCATGGGCTGGGAGCATACTCTGACTCTCCCAGCCTGGAAAAATGTAATTACTTATGTTCCCATCATGGCAAATATCTGACTCTCAGATTTCTATGGAGTACTTTGTTTTTCTGTGCATGTAGCAGGATACAATCCATAAATGCAGGATTTTAGGGTGGCTGGTTTTGTAGAGCCTTAAAAGTCAAATGGCAACTAGTTAAGATAGAGAACGCTGCTGTTGTGTGCTCCTAGCGAAATATTCTGGAAAATTAATGTCAGCCATAAGTTTTTGAAGGATTAGATTCAGGAGATTGCCACTCTTGTATTAGAAATATATTTTTCAAAGTCCTCTTTAAACTTTTCCCAAATTCTTTGCAGTTCCCACCTAGAACCTCAGGGAATATCTGGGCCAAGTGCTTCTGAAAACCAGTTCTCTTTATTTGGCATCTAAGTGGAATTATTGAATGTTTAGCATTATGTCTAGTATGAAGTAGTCTTGTCTTGATCTGGCAAAAATTTGATGATGGAAGTAAGATTTACACCTGAAGAAAACATGCTTCCGTGAGTAAAAAGGCTTCTGCCTGCAGCTGCTCTCCAATCTAATGACAATTTACTGTTTATTCCCTTAAGATAGAAACTCTGTACATTTGCCACAAATTCTGGCAGTAGAATTTTCCCAATGTAATGATAGTTCATCAGGCGAATTCTCCAAAGCGCTGGATTATGTTACTGTTGTTATAGTAGTCTGCTTTTGCACAAAATACACTGCTTTTTTTTATTTCTTTTTTTTTCCCTCTACTTCCTTGTCTGACACTTAGGAAGAAGGTCGCGGTCAGGGCTTTACAGATGGACAGTACCAAGGCAAGCAGCTTTTCAGATGCGACGAGGATTGTGGGGTTTTTGTTGCTTTGGACAAACTGGAGCTGGTGGAAGATGATGACAATGAACTGGAAAGTGACTATGCAGCTCCAGTTGACGCAATGCAGGTAGAACTTCCTCCTCTGGAGATCAACTCCAGGGTTTCTCTGAAGATAGGAGAGAGTATAGAGTATGGGACAGTTATATTCTGTGATGTCTTACCAGGAAACGAAAGTTTAGGATACGTTGTTGGAGTGGACATGGTAAGAAAATAATCTGACTTTAATAACTTTTGCATGTGTGTTATCTAGTAAATGACATGCAATATAGAAGAAGAAACATTATCCACAAGCTACTTCAGCGGAGGCTGACCTAAAATGGGAAATAAACACTTGTGTTCAAAGATGCCCCTTGGTGGGAATTGGTTTTTTTGGCATCAGGTAAATGGTATCCTATTTGATGCTAAATGGTTCAGGAGAAATACTCTGGTTACTCTGAGGAGCCTCCACTGAGCTACTTGCAATGTTAGATGTCAGTCTTGAAGTCATAGAGTTGAGTGTTTGTCTTGTGAGACCGGCTTCGTTCTGCCTTGAAAAAAAGTAGTCTGGATGCCTTTTTTCTTTGTTAGCTATTTTTAAAAGCTTTTGTTTTCATGTAACTTTGGTTTGTTTGACTTCATTCCACCTTAAAAATACTGAGTTTTAAGTGTAAAAGTTGATCTTTCAAGAAAATGTGAAGCTTGAAATTACAAATTATTTCTAGCAACTTGAATTTTTAAAAATGAACAGCTGTTAAATTTTTGGTAGTTAAAGGGTGTTTTGCTTTGGTAGGTCAGGTGCTTTCCATTTTCTTGATTGCAGTAGCTGTTGCCTAACAGTGCACTGGAATTGTTCTAACTTGTTTAAAAACAATGGACTTTAGTAGAGGAATGCTTGTTAAAATAGAAGATATTTCTCAAAAGAACTGTTTATATTTGTGTTTGTCTTTAAAGACTGTAATGTTTGACAGTTCTAAATGCAAAGTTTGTTACAGGAAAAAGTACATGTTGTCAAACCTTTCATTTTCCTAATTTTTATGTTCCAACATATGTGTGTATTTTGTACGATGTAAATCTTCTTTTGGGATACATGTAATGTGGTTTTCTATTTTTAGGATAATCCTATTGGAAACTGGGATGGAAGATATAATGGAATACAGCTGTGCAGTTTTGCAAGTGTTGAAAGTACACTGCTTTTGCATATCAATGATGTTATTCCAGGTATGCACGGCTTTCTTAACCAGAAGGCAGACTTTGATAACATCTCAGCCTGGGCACAGTTACATGATTAAAACAATACTGTGGAATTAATATTCTAAATTCACTTGAATTACTTTGACCTTCTGTGTTACAGTCTCACTAATAGTAAAGGTTTAATATTGAACAAAATTCATGTCAAATTGTATAGTATTTGCAATACAGTTAGTATTAGTATAGTTTATGAATTTGTGAATGTCTGTAGTGGGAATCTCTTTATTGAATGTTGTTCAGTTTATTCTAGGAGTTTAAGTATCTTGGATCAGAAAGCTGTTCTTTTTGTGCTCAAAATGTATTGATAGAATTATTTATGCATTCTGTGAGTAAATACTTGAAAGCTCATAGCAAGACTGTGGAAAAATTCACTATCCACAGTAATTCACTGAGTAGTATCAACTTGTAACCACTACAGTCCCAATTCCTTTTCTAAAGTAGGATGTTAATTCCTTTAATAATTAATTTAATAATTTAATTTCAAGTTTAGGTTGTGCTCTATCTGAAGACGGGCACTAACGAGTGTGCAGTCTTGTACAGCCTGTAGTCTGTAACCATGGCCCTCTGTCTTCAATTTGGCTGACTTCCCTTATGTTTACCTCCTTGTTGGTTTAGTTGAGATGCATGTTTTTGCCTTAATTGTCCTCTCCTTTTCTGGACAATTAATGGGGACTTTCCCATTTTGGGGAAAAGAGCATTTGTTGTAGATGTGTTGGTAGAGAATAAAGTTTAGAATTTCATAGATCTGTTTCCCCTAGTGGAAGCACGCAGATACGTTGAGGAAGATGAAGCCCATCTATTTGATGTGTTGAAGTAATGGTAGACTTCAGAGTAAAGTGGTCGCTTGTAAAATGCCAAAAAAAGGTTTTGCCCACTCAGTTTTAAAACTTACGATGCTAGACCTCGGTTCAGTTATGTCTCAAGTTGAACTTCTCTGTGACATAATGAAAGCACAGAAAAGGGAAGCTAATGCTCTTCTCATGTATCACGTCTTAGAGACTGTGTCCCAAAACTCTCTGTGACATAATGAAAGTACAGAAAAGGGAAGCTAATACTCTTTTCATGTATCACGTCTTAGAGACTGTGTCCCAGGACAGGAGACCTCCCAAGCTTGCCTACACCTCGAGAGGTGGTGGGGACAAGAGCTTGTTCAATCACAGTAAGCCAAAGGCTACAGGTACGGATGGGAGTTGTGGTTTTCTTTACCTTCACAAATTTTTGTTGCTTGGGAAGAAGAGTCACCTTGCATTTTCTGTCACTCCATTTATTATTGCAGTTACATAACAAGCACAATTTCTCTGAGTATTTACATGGTTTTGTTTACTCATAATAAAGCGGGTAGACAGTTTTAAGCTAAGACTGCTCAAAATACTTTCACTTTCATGAAAAACAGTTTGACATTTAGCAAAAATTCAAGAGGATGTTGCCTAGCTGTCCAGTATAACAATTCAGGGCTACATTCTGTTTTTCTGAAAGTGTGCTGTGTGTTTGGGTTTTTCATATTTTTTTAATAAATATAGTTTGCTGTTCTCTTCCTTCTGCAGGACTAGAAAGTACTGAATTTTTAGCCCAGGTACAGATCTACTTAAGAGTGGTTATCTTAATTTTGCTATGATTGTAAACTAAAATTGTATTCCTAAAATATAAACTTCTTTTGACTCTGGTTTTGGCCAGCTCTGAAAATCCTCCCAGAGTAAAAAAAACTGGAAGGAAAATACTTTTCTCTTCGTGTTTTTTTTTTTTTTTTTTTAAAGGCAGAAATCAAAACTCAGTGTCTCTTGAGTTTACTATTTTGGGTTGTAGAATACTACTGACAATATATTCTGTAAGCTTTCATTCTACCTGGCATTGGATGCTGGCAGAGATGGTTTCTCCACTGAAGTAACTGCAGTTATGTGTTGGCACAAGTTACAGCTGTGTGGAATTGGATGGGTGATTTATCTGCCTACTCTGATTTTTTTTTTTTTTTTTCTTTTCTTTAAAAACAAAATATACCTGTTGTTCACTGTATCTCAAATACTTTCTTGTATCCCTAATTTATAGCAATGAAAAGTTTGCACTTGAGGGGTGCTTTCTGCCACCTACTCAGGTTGGTGACTTTAAATTTCAGTTTGGAAGATGAAGTTGGTTTGGGATAAACGGCTGCCTTGCTGCAAGCTTAGAACTGTGGTAGCTTTGATGGGAGAGTTTGCTGCTTTGTGGAGAGGCAGTTAGGTCTTTCTGAAAGTATTTTAATGTCTACCATGAAATCAGAGCGTAGCTATCCTTTTGCAAATAAAGACGGATCTCTTCAGTAAAATGTGTTGTTTTCCAGGATCTACCTCTGAACCTGGAAATAGAAACAGATCTGAAGTCTTCTACACATTAAATGGCTCATCAGTTGACTCTCAGCCCCAAACGAAAACAAAACCCCCGTGGTATATTGATGAAGGTAAAGAGAGATGATAGTCTTTCATGTAGGCATACACTTTATTTAATAAACAAAACAAAACTAGAGTGTATTGTTGTTCTTCAAATAAAACAAGTATGAGTTTAAAATTTAAAACAGTTGGAATATGTTGTCTTAGTGGAAGACATATTGTATCATAAAGCATCTTGGAACCCTCATGAAAATATACTCTGTCTTAATTGACAGACCTGTTGTTTTTTCCTGCATGTTGGAGATTACACTCTTGGCAACGAATGCGCAGCTCTGTGGGAAGGCGTATGTCTTGCAGGCAAAATAAAAGCTGAGGCTTGGAAGGGAGATATGAAGATACTCCTTGTAGCCAAGTATCTAGAGTAATTTTATTTTTCCTGTCTTTTTGTTACCGTAATATTCTGCCATGCCAGCTAATCAGTCTGGAAGTAGGGGAGGAAAAAAATAATCTCACTAAACATACATATTTTTTTAAAGTTATTTGTGTAGGATCAGTATGTCTTGATTTGCTTCCAGATGTTTTTTCAGTATTTTTTTAAAGTTATTTGTGTAAAATCTCTTTCTGAATTCTTACAAATATGGGTGCACATACCCAAAGGATCAGTATGTCTTGATTTGCTTCCAGATCGAATTTTTTTTTTCTGGTTAAGTTTTCTGAAGTCTGGCTGGCTGGCTTAGTGACTGAAGGGGTAAATACGAAACTAATGTTAATTTAAATTGGTTCTTGGTTGCCTAACAGATACTGTTCCAACAGCTTGATAGAATTTTTTTTTTTCTGGTTAAGTTTTCTGAAGTCTGGCTGGCTGGCTTAGTGACTGAAGGGGTAAATATGAAACTAATGTTAATTTAAATTGGTTCTTGGTTGCCTAACAGATACTGTTCCAACAGCTTGGAACTCTGTTTAAAAATTAATTAATTATAATATTTTTTAAAAAAGTAAATATTCGGTCTGGACAGGACTATGGAAGTAAAAGATTGAATACTTTTTTCTTATTATTTTTGGACTTTATGTTCAGTTAATTAAAGAGCATGGGGAGAAGAGGTGATGAAGAGGCTTTTGCTCTGTGAATACCATTTTTTTTATTAGAGACCATGTAGAGAGATGAGAGAAGATACAGAACACTCGTGCCATTACATCTAGTTGTGATCTCATTTATCAAGCACTGCATTAGTCATGATTTATTTAAATCCTTTATTCTTTATAGACACTGATAGATTCCTTGTGTTAGAACCAAAGTATATTGTGACAGAGCCAGGGGAATAAACACTTTTCCATTTGCAAATCATGTCTGCAAGCAATTACTCATCTCTGTATAAGCTGTGAACCAAATCCTTCCCTCGGTCACACTGACCAATGAGTTCTTCCTCCTTTTGCCCATCACAGTCATAGTCCTTGGGGCTGTCAACTTGTATTCAAAGAAAGATTCCAATGTGGGGGGGAAAAAGTAAAAAAGTTTTCAGTCTAAATCTTCCTGTAGTTTGTGGGTTGTGTCTCCTTTCTGTCTGCTGCTCGTTTCCATTGGCGGTAGTTAAGGAGGCAGGGCTGCAGCAGCGTCTCCTCAGACACTTCTGTCTCTCCAGGGTGGCCAAGTGACAAACATCTTCCTACCTGTCCCCAGCTGTTAGCACTTCTACAGGACACCTCTGAAACCAGAGGTGGTTGCAGATCCACTGCATTGCTTGGATAGCTAAGTCTTTCCTTTTGTAAGATGGGGAAAATAAACCCCAACATTTACCGATGTCTTGCTTTTGTTTTTAACAGTTGCTGAAGATCCTGCAAAATCTCTTACTGACTCATCTCCTGGATTTGGGCATTCTTCACCACCTTTAACAAACTCTGTGTCTACAGAAAACAGATTTCACTCCCTCCCTTTTAGCTTGACGAAAGCGTCGACTACTAACGGTACCATTGGGCACAGCCCTCTCTCCCTGTCCGTTCAGTCGGTCATTGGGGACGTCAATGCTGCCCCCAGCCAGGAGAGCCCAGCAGCCGCAGGGCCCGTGGGGAACTCGCACGGTCTGGAAGCAGGTTCCTTGGCTGAAGTTAAAGAAAATCCTCCCTTCTATGGAGTAATCCGCTGGATTGGGCAGCCCCCTGGAGTAAATGAAGTATTAGCTGGACTGGAACTGGTAAATATAAATTGTAGTTCATATCAATGTTAATTATGTGTTACTAGTTTTGTTCCTGTGTCCTTTGTGTCGTGATGGGTAATTGAATTTCTAGGATTGGTCACTTACTTTACAGGAGTGCCCTTTGCTTACCTCATGGAGATTTTAATTGAAAAAAGCCGATCATATTTAAAGGTTCTTTGAAATGCAGATTTATATAAAATGCCCTGCCTGTAAGAGTTTTTGTTGAATATCAATTTTTTGTTTGTTTTTTGCATCCCAGCAAACAGGCAGTGTCAGAGTAGTGACTGTCAGAGCCATAACACTGGTTTTGACAATGCATGGAGCCATGTGCTTTAGGTGTTGCTGTGGACCCTGTGTCAGTTCACAGTTGCTGCAAACACAAACTGCTTTTATCTACAGATGTTTACTCTGTGGCAGCTGCTGCCAAGGTTGGGATTAGCTATCAGTTAAATTAATGGGTAAGCAATGAGGGAGATGGGGTTCTTTATTTTGGGATAGTTCAATAAACTTCAGATAAAACAGTGTACAGTTATGTAAAACAACAAACATCTTCAGCAAAGTAGGCAAGAATATGACTGGAATTTCAACTGTTACAAAAAATCCTGGTGCCTGTGGGGTTTTTGGGTGAAGCTCAAGCCATAATTTGTCCTGAGACTCCATCTTAGGGTGCCTTGTGTTAAACTGGGGTCCTAGACTTGCCTGTCACGCATTTCTGTGCTAAAACCCAAGTCGTTAGCAAGCAGACAATTGTGATAACAAGTTATCATTATTTATCTTTGGTATTTTTCATATAGTTTGTTTTCTTTCCTCAATGTACATTTTAGGCACTGTGAAGCAGGTATTTTTCTTGTGCAGGTCACAGTCGCTCTGCAAGTATTTGCATTACCTAATGCTTAGTGATATTAATTGAGTTTTAAAAGGCGCTTGGCTAAGTTGACTAGCTTTAATTCTCCCTCTCGTCTCCCACCTCCCCCAAGATGCTTCTGATGGAATTTTTGTTTTATTTTGGATGGAGTGAAAGTTTAAAGATGAAGAAAAAAAGTGTGGCTCTTAATTTCCTCAATAAATCTAGTTAAAAAACACCCCAGCTGAAGCTTTGTATACTAAAATGCAGGAATATTGTATATCAAGCTTCAGAGTACCTGAAAGGTGACTTACAGATAGATATTTTATCAAATGTCTTACTGCAGAATTGTAGAAGGAAGAAAAAAAAAAAAGTGAATTCTCACTTGACTTTTCAGGAAGATGAATGTGCAGGTTGTACAGATGGAACATTTAAAGGAACTCGCTACTTCACTTGTGCTCCAAAGAAAGCTCTTTTTGTGAAACTCAAAAGCTGCAGGCCCGATTCCAGGTTTGCCTCCCTACAGCCCGTTTCCAACCAGATTGAACGCTGCAACTCTCTAGGTACTGAGCTTCTGCTTCTTACTCATCAGCTGGGAACTGCCCTGGGGTTTGCTGTCATTTATTCCTGCGTTATGTTCTTTGCACTGAATGCTTGAAAATTACAGGTATTTAATGAATAAAGGCATTAATTAAATGAGATCAATGAATAGAAAGCCTGTACAGAACATAACGCTTCTATGGATTACTTTCTTTATGCTTTAAAACAAGAAAAGGTTCATATATTTAAAGAAATTTCATAAAATTAAGGGATTGTTTTGTTACGCTGTACATTTTTTACTTTAGAAGTTGTAGAGCAATCTTGCTGAAAATTTGTATTTGTAACTATAGCAACGTGTGCTTGCATTATAAAGGCAGTTAGTTATTTTTCTATAATCTGAATTTTTTTCTAAGTATTAACATGTATTTTTATAGTGGGAGTTAGTGGTTAAAAGCTTAATATTTTTTTTCTAACTTCAAATATTTTTAGATTGGGTCATGTTGTATTACCTGGGACAACTGCAAAGAAAAATGTGTGTGATACTTGTAAGGTAGTGTGACCAGGGCATTTGTAATGAGAAGAGAACTTCATTCCTGCTGGCTAAACGAACGCGGTGCTGCAGGCTCTCTGGAGCACTCTGTGCATTGTCAGTGGAATGTAAGGCCTCGTTTGCTCTCTGGGAGGCAGTCCCAGGTATAATAAATGCTATTTAGTCCAGGGAAGGAATGCTTACACTAAGGCAGCAAGTTAGCTATGAAACGTTAATAGGAAAATCTCAAGGGGGATAAAATTTGAGGCTTTAAAGTGTCTTTTGAAAAAAAAAATTTCAGCGTTTGGAGGTTACTTAAGTGAAGTGGTAGAAGAAAACACTCCTCCAAAAATGGAAAAAGAAGGTTTAGAGACAATGATTGGAAAGAAGAAAGGTATCCAGGGTCATTACAACTCCTGTTACTTAGACTCCACCTTATTCTGGTAAGTGCCTGATTTGCCTGGTGGCATCCCATGCTAGAAATGCGGGACACGTGATCCTTGTTGTAATGACTGTCTGTCTGTATCACTGTGCAGCTTTTGGCTCTGTCAATTGGAACAAGCACTGCTGTGCAGCTTGGAGGTCATGCTTTTGGCTCTGTCAATTGGAACAAGCACTATGAAGTGCTGATCATGTCCAAATTGTACTGGCCCTTATGTATCTATTCTCTTTTTGACTGTCAAGGGTTGAAGGATGAAAGAGTACACAGGCTGGGGGGTAGAGGGAGGGTAATATAACTTATTTGCAGAATCCTGCCTTGGCAAACAAACTGTTTTTGTACTCTGCTGCAGAAAAGATACTAGGTTAGAGTGGACTTTTACTAATTGCTATAGCTGTGTTGTCCTCTGTCCATAATTCTCTCTTTTTGAGTTTGTTTAGTTCTTTAATTCTTCCCATGGCTTTGCTTGGTTTGTCTTATGTTGCTGAGGCATCTGAGTGGTTGTATCTTCCAGCACCAAACCAACCTTCCTTCTCTTCTTTTCCTTTGTAGCCTGTTTTCTTTTAGCTCTGTTTTGGACACTGTGTTACTCAGACCTAAAGAAAAGAATGATGTAGAGTATTATAGTGAGACCCAAGAGCTGTTGCGGACAGAGATTGTGAATCCTCTGAGAATGTAAGTACAGGCCTGAACTGGTCTCTGCTCTAGTATAAACTGTACACTAGATCCTGCTGTGTGTGCATTCCTATTGCAAACCTGAAAAGTTTGGCTACCTGCTGCTGCCAGTCTGTGCAGTTGTGGGGTTTTTGAGTATTTTTACTTGTTCTTCATGGTAAATTTAATCAGTGCTAATTAGAAATTATTTGGCAATAAAATATTTTCACTAGTCTCTATTTGGAAATGTGATCAGCATAAAGCTATTGTATAATTTGCATAGGTATAACCACAAAAGCATTGATAAATATAAGTTATATTTGTTCACAGCATTGGTATTTCTGTGGTTTTGATGCTGCTGCTCTTGACAAGAAGGTATTTGTGTTACCTTATGTGGAGTTTCACAATTTGATAGATTTGACGGGGCTTCCAAAGTTTTGTTAATTTTCACATGGGGTCTGCAAGTGGTCAAAATGCTTTTATTAACAGACCTTAATGTGAGCTTTGTAATTCCTTAGGCACAATGAACAAAGGAAATATGACAAAATCTGCATGAAAAGTTATTTGTCTTAATTTTTTAAAAAAACATGCAAATAATACAGTTGTAATTCTGAAATTCTGTGGGCTGTCGCTGAACAATTTATCACAAAATTTTACTTTTGATTCGTGATATAAGAGGATGGCTTCTGAACCCTTGTTCTTGTAAGGGTGTGTGTCCTCTGCCTGGTGTGTTCCAGGGCTCTGGGGTACAGGGAGTAGGACACACACCAAGTAGCAGAAATCTTAACTGGCTGAGAAGACTCAAAGTCTTACTTCTCCTACCTTTCCACCAGGCTTAAAAGTTTCTTTGTGTTTTTTGTAAAGCTTTAGAGGAAAAGATTGAATGCTCAAAACTTCAGCTTCTTACGTCAGCAATACAGCTCTGTATCTTTTTCTCAAATATTGAAATATTTTTTTAATAATCCACAGTGCTGTTGTTGTGTGACATTTTGAAGAATATATTTTATAACAACTCCCACAGTGCTGTTGTTGTGTGACATTTTGAAAGTGATGTATTAAGTGGTGTAAATTAGAGTGAAAACAAATCAAAAGTAGTTGACTGACAAATCAGTAAACAGTTATACTGGTAAGTTAATGTTTAAAAAGAGCTCTTAAAGGTAATGTAAGAACACTGAGCATTGCATAAATTTATACTGCATTAAAGAAAAACCTGGAAATTAGATTGAATATGAGGCGTCAATATATAGTTTTGAAGAAATACTGTACACTGTTAAAGGAGGATCTGAGAGCCTGGGGTCTTTTTTCTGCTTCTCTGACTTGATCACAAACTAGCTAATAGCTGACATTTATCTTAGATACGGATATGTATGTGCTACAAAGATAATGAAACTGAGGAAAATACTTGAAAAAGTTGAGGCTGCATCAGGATTCACCTCAGAGGAAAAAGGTAAGTGGGGACGTCTTCCTTTCTTTGAGATTTGTAAGAATCACAATATGATGGAACTGAAATACCTTGCTATACAATGATAGCACAACACAGCACACAGCTATTGCTGTGTAGCAGTAGTATTTCTGCCAGAGATTGCAGTGACCATTGGGTGGTAAAAAGGTCTTTTCTGCTTCTGTGGGTCTGTGAGGAGCCCTCACTGCACACTTTCTGCCATTAACAGTCTTTCACTGATGGATTTCTTTTTTTGCCTTCCTGTGCCCATGTGACTCCCTTCGAGCAGTTGGGGGAGATCTAAGGCTCTTCCTCAGAAGTTAAGACACTGATGAGGCTGGGGTCTTGCCCTCTTTCAAAATGTCACTTTGGCCCCCAAGAAATAATCTTTCCACTACAACATTTCATTGTCACAAAGATTATATAGTATTTTAAGAAAGAAAATGTGTAAATCATGTTATAAAAGTCAGTTTCCAACCTTTTGATCATCTGCTGCATATAATGATTAATTAGCATTGTATTATGTAGCTGTTTTGGTTTTGTTTGGGAGAACACTACCTTCTTTGTAAATGCTAAATGCTGAAAACCGGTATTTATTGCAGTTAGTGGCAGGAAGAGAAATGCACCAGAAACCTCCCAGTGTTGGGGGAGAATAGACCTCTGGGAGGCCAGTGTTGGCTGAATTCTCAATTAGACAACTCGCTCTCTAGTTTAGATGAACTTTGTACTGTTGTGTGGGTTTTATGTAAGTGTTACTGTCACTACTCCTCGCTGCTTCTCTGCACTTCCACTGTTTTCTTCTAAAAGCTTTTATTTCTCCTGGAAAAGTTGCGTGGTGCCAAATGATTCCTCTGAAATACAGAGCATCTTTTTGATCTTTACTGGAAAGCTTTGTTACTCTGTTGAGCCTGTGTCTTTTGCTAGGGCCGTTTGATACCAAAAGAGTAAATAGTGCTTTGTGTCATGAAAATACTCGTGGTTTGTCATAATCTTGCTGTGTTAATAAAGCTGTAAAAATGAACCTTTACTGTTCCTATTAAAATTTTGAAAATTTTCATTCAAAATCAGTCTGATGTATCTAGTTTTGCACACTAACGACTTTTTTCTTTCCTCCCCTAGATCCAGAGGAATTTTTGAACATTTTATTTCACCATATTCTAAGAGTCGAGCCACTGTTAAAAATAAGGTGAATCTTTTTTCTTTGTTGAACTCATCTATTTGTAGAAGCTGATGAGGAGAGACTGTCTGCTGCTTTTCAAATTGCGATAGCTCTTAGGGCTGATGAGGAGACTGCTGCTTTTCAAATTGCGATAGCTCTTAGATCACCTTTGACTTCAGATTTGTTATTTCTAAGAAAATTCAATATATATTGACAAATTTGACACTATCAAGAAGATTCATAGAATCATAGAATTGTCTAGGCTGGAGATCACCTTTGACTTCAGATTTGTTATTTCTAAGAAAATTCAGCAGGGACACCCCCAACTATTCAATATATATTGACAAATTTGACACTATTTCCTACCTTTTCTGGTAGGTGGGTTTTGCCTCGCTGGTCTCTTGTTGCAAAAGCTCATGGATGTAGTTTCATGAGACCTGGACAAAGCTCCCCTGTCCTGGTGCTGTCTGCTTGAAGCCTTCCTGCCTTCCTGTTAGTTGTGCTGCAGAAGGGCTGCTGTTAGAGGACCGTCCAGCACTACTTCTTGTGGCCTGGAGCTTAGAGCTGTTTGTTGCTGGGACAAGCTGCAGAGAATCGGTGTTTAAGCCATGGAAACTGTTTTGCATTTCTTCTTTAAGGCTGATGAAAATATTTCAATGGTTTGGCTTGATCAAGTTTGGCTTCTCTTACTTTATCAAAGTAAATATCCTCTGGATATTTATATTACTTATATAAATATATATTTATATAAATATTTATATTATTTATATTACAATATCCTCTGGAATGTTGCTAACTATACAGCAAGTCTGGCAACACTGGCCATCTACGCCAGCCTTCCACAGCAGGAAGCAGTGTAAATATCTCTCTGATTAAAAAGAAACGTTTCATTAAAACCAGTCTTTTTTTTTTTTTTTAACTATGTCATACTGAAGAGAATTATTGTTGTTCCTTCTGATGCTTTATTACTGACACTCTTACTTGTCTTTCCAATGAAGGCTGCTTTAATGTGTTGGGGGTTTTGATGCACGTGCTCAGGAAGTATTTCTCAGTTGGTAGTAATGCATAGGGAGATGTTTTTAAAAGATACTCTGAAACCTATACTGCTTTGATTTCTTAAATAAGTTTTTCTACAATCAGTCCACGCTTAATACTTGATTTCTTATCATCTAAGGCATTTTGTTGTTGCTGGCTTTTTTTTTTTAAACAATATATTTCAATGCAGAGAGGATGTTGCCTAGATTATTTTCTGGTAGATGTTATTTTCCTAGTAAAATGCAGTCATTGGTACAGTAGAGCTTCAGAATCTGTGTTTTTTTTAAATCTGTTTTTAGATCAGCAGGTCAGAAAGTACAAGACTGTTACTTCTATCAAATTTTTATGGACAAAAATGAGAAAGTTGGAGTCCCGACAATTCAGCAGTTACTAGAGTGGTCATTCATCAACAGCAACTTGAAGTTTGCAGAGGTTGGTGACAGCTGTTACTTTGTTAGAAGTGATGATTCCTAGATATTTGCCTATTCAGCAATGGGACAAAAGTAGGACTTGGTGTGGAAAATGCAGACATGTTGGAAACGGAGCAGTAAGTCAGTGGTACAGGTTACCTGTGTTACAGAAATATTTCAAGGTTGACTTAATGACATGAACAGACTGAATCACTAGAACTGCTGATGGGGAAGTGCAGTCCAGTATATTTAGTATCATACTTATGTGTAACTGGGACTTAAAATATTTGACATTGATTTTGATGCCACTTTACTGGGTTTTTTAGACATACTTTCTCTCAAATACTTCATTTTGCTTTGCTGACCGTCTTGTTAAGTTTGGAGTCAATAGACTGCAAGTTTAAATAACTTGTAATACAATAAACATATTCCTGTTATGTCTCTAAATTTAGGTAATTATCTATCTCAAGCTCATTACATTATATTCTGGCATTTTATCTAGGCACCCTCTTGCCTGATTATCCAGATGCCGCGGTTTGGAAAAGACTTCAAAATGTTCAACAAAATTTTTCCATCCTTGGAATTAAACATAACAGACTTACTTGAAGATAGTAAGTATGTTACTCTGTGGTGTGTCATAAAAGAGAGTTGTTGAGCGTGACTAACAGTGAAAGTAAGTACTCCTGGTAGTTCTGAGGTTTTTTGTTTTTTTTAAATAAATTTAACAAGGTAGTGTGGAATGTTCAGGCTGAGGAAAAAGGAAAGTTTACTGACTAGAATGCTTTTTTTTTTCCTTCTCATATCAATTGAAAGCTGTAATTCAGAAGAATGTAGAGAATATAATTTGCTTGATTACTTAATGCTTGAGTACCTCTACAACTAAACTTCTTATTTCAAGATGGTGGTGTTAAAATTGAGTTATTAGCAGCAAAACAATTCATTAATATGGCAGGCAGGAAATCCTAAAAGCTAAGTGTAGCATCAAGATTGTTTAACAGGACAATGATGATGAAGTTTCATTAGTCTTCATCAGTTTGTGCTGCCTGTTTCTGAACTTTTTGTCATTAGTTATTCAAACTAGAAGAGAACCTGAGATGAGTACGTAAACCTACAGCGTGTAGTGATGGGGCATTTTTTCAACTCTAAACCTGTGACTTGTTTAGGACCTAAATTTCCGATACTTGTCATTCACTGACTTTTTTTATTGCATTACCTAAAAAAAGACACACAGTTTTAAATTAGAGATAAGAATTAATAAAACTGCTAACATTTATTAGGATAATAATTGCTGAAACTGTCATGATGTTTTCTTTCATTGTCTTGGCCATCAGCTTAGGCTGTTGGGTTTTTTTCTGGTGTTGACAGACACGGGGGCTAAGCTGGTTGCACCAATACCAATAGAGAGAATGAACTTGATTTAAAAGCCTGTTCTTACCTGTGCATACAGATCATAAAACTCGAAAAACAGATGATAAAAATTAACTTACCACTCTAATCTTTTTTCTTATTTCAAGAGGAAGAAATTAAATACAGTGGTACACTTCTGCTTTGATTGGCAACCTGATTTTAGCTTTCTTTAACATATATTTAGAGTAGTAATCCTCCCTCCTTTCCATACCCCCCATCTTAAAAACAAAAAAGCCTCTCCAGATTGGAGACTAATACCTTATTTAACAATGCAGCTCCCAGGCAGTGCCGTATCTGTGGAGGGCTGGCTATGTACGAGTGCAGAGAATGTTATGAAGATACTGAGATTTCTGCTGGGAAAATCAAGCAGTTCTGCAAAACATGCAATACACAAGTAAGTTGTTGTCTCTGTTATTCTACGTGGGTTTAACCCAAATGGTACGTGCTGCAATAATCAAAAGAACCTAGTGAGACTTTCACCCGCAGTAGTGTAACGGCGCCCACCAAGTGTTGCCTTCGGTGACAAACCAGGAACTCGCTTGCCCTGCAATGTATTCATCAACAGTTTCTCACTGAAAACACAGAAACTGCCCAATCCAGGACTGAGTACAGTGGGCAGCTTGGAATCTGTTTCCTGTTGCCCGTTTTAAATCCTAATTTTACATACCTGCTGCCTTGCTTGACTCAGTAAGTTCATGACACAGAACTGTTTAATTTTGAGAGCTGTTTGGTAATTTGCAGGAAGCTGCCAGGGTTTGTTTTCCAGCCTGAGCAGAGTACAAAGCTGTTGCATTAAATCTGACCTTCCCTCTAATCTTAGATTTGCATTTTCTGGGCAATACTGAACTATACTGGTGGGGAAAAATAGAAGAAATGTTTAGTCTGCTACTGTTACCGCATTTCCTCCTCTGTTCAGCCATAATGTCCTTCTTAGCTTTGTTTGGCACTGAAAGAAATAATTTTATGGGGTGTTTTTTCGATTCTGAAATATCTCTTCAATTGTAGGTTCATCTTCATCCCAAGAGACAGAGTCATAAATTCAATCCATTGTCCCTACCGAAAGATCTCCCCGACTGGGACTGGCGGCACGGCTGCATCCCGCACCAGAAGATGGAGTTGTTTGCTGTTCTCTGCATAGAAACCAGCCACTATGTAGCTTTTGTGAAATATGGGAGGGATGACTCCGCCTGGCTTTTCTTCGACAGCATGGCAGATCGGGATGGTAGTACATCTCTTATTTATTCTTATCAATGTTCACTTAATTTTTTTACATATATTACTGTTGTAAATTTCAGTGCCTATTTCTTAACGTTTTGGGGATATTAATATCATTCAACTTGATGTACCCGGTGCTGGGACACTAATGTTGACTCAGCCTTACCTCAGTGCATTGATTTCACAGCAGCCACTGATTTGCACAATGTGAATTTCACCTAAATTGGGCACCTTAGTAAGGAGATGGTAGAGAAGTAACCACAGAAGTTTTCTAGCGGGACTCTTTATACATTTTTCTATACTTTGCAAGTTTGGCAGAGAGAATTAATGTTAAATAATCAGTTGTAGGAGTACATTCTTTCAGTCTATATCTAAGTAGATGTACAAAATTATCAGATAGTATGAAAATATTTTTATTGCTTTTGCTTAAACTACATAATGTAGGTGTCTTTAGAATAAAAAAATAGTCACGCATTACACCATTCATGCAGTTCCTTTGAACCTCTTTAGAATTATCAGTGGAAAACTGTTACCTGTGATAACACAGGTTATGTCAGTGAATGTCAGTAAAACAAGTGTTCTCTTAGGTATTGCTGCAGTGAACAGAGAGTCCTTATTTCAACACTATTTCATTCTGGTGCCTGAGAAAAACAGTAATAGATGCAAGTGTCAGACTCATAGGAACAGGTCTTTGTATGAAGAATCTGTGAGCCCCTCTGTTACGGTGTGATTTTGGGAGTGGGAGGAGAAGAATCTCGCCTCCTGTTGAAAATGAAACTGCTGCAGGATTAAAGTCTCTTTCTTACAACAGCCCCACTTTGTTTGGAGTGTTTGAAATGTGCATGACTCAAGTCTGTAAAGAACCACGTCATTTCAGGAACGTACATCACAGGAGATACTCACTAGATGCATCTCCTGCTAAAATCTTTGGGGGTTTTGTATCACAAATATTTTTCTTCAGCCAGTGCTATAACTGAAAAATATCTGCTGGGGAAAAGTGTCATGGATGTCCATACTTCTGTTGTTTGAATTTGCTCATTTCTACGTGGAAAATGGCAGCAGCAAACACTGCCTTAGCCTTGCAAGTCAGGTACAGACACAGTTTAGAAATTCATAACTGTTACCAGTTGGCATGTTATTAACAAATTCGGTAGTGCTTGAGGTGGAGTATGTATTCAGGTCTCTCTCTCCCAAAGAATTTTTAGTGTTAATGGAAACCCAGATTTCTCGGTTTTGTTTGGTGGTGGTGTGAGTGTTTGCCTGCTGGTAAACACTACAAGATATTCTGACTGATTTTTCTTAATGATACACTTTTCATGTACGTCTACCCTGCAATAGTCCAGAATGGCATATTTAGGTTTTTTTAGAAGGCATTTTCAAGAACTGATGGTGCCCTCATAATTGAAGTACATTATAAAGAGTAAATATATAGAGATGCTGTCCTAATCTGTTTCTCTTTCTTTCCTTATGGTTTAAAGGAGGTCAGAATGGCTTTAACATTCCACAAGTTACCCCCTGTCCAGAAGTTGGTGAATACCTGAAGATGTCTCTAGAAGAATTACACTCGCTGGATTCCAGAAAAATCCAAGGTTGCGCGCGAAGACTCCTTTGTGATGCTTACATGTGCATGTACCAGAGCCCAACGATGAGCTTATACAAATGAACAGTGTCCTCTGGAAAACTGAAGAAACAGGATAGAGTTACTGACTATTGCATTTGCTGCGTTTTTTGGTTAGTTTTAATGCAACCGTTGCTGGCAATGGATGCGATGACGAGGAGGAAGTTGACTCTGAGAGCAAAAGGATTATGTTCCAAAAACTACACGTGGAGTTGTTAATTGAAGTATTTAAGCATTTTGCACTCTAGGAAGTGTGCTTGTGTGTGTTTGTTTTATAAACAAAGTCTAAGTGAAGTTACTAAAACTTAAAGCTTTAAGTGCATTGATTATACACAGGCTTTTTTGAAATGTCAAAGGTGGAATTCTATCAGGAGAAAGAAACCTCCTTAGTCCATTGAGAATGTAAAGATAGGGAGTATTCTTGCTCAGTGCATTTCTATAGACCAAGGATGATGATTCTCTTGTGTTTCTCTGCCCTCCCCTCCCACCACTTCTCCCCACCCCTGATCTTTTTAGCACCATAGATTCTCTCGAGACAATAACCTCAGTTTCAGTAAGATAAATTTCAGACTGTTCATTGCATATTAATTCTGTTCTGTTATCTGTCTACTACATTCTTTTCAGTTCACACATTTGCATCTTCAAAAATTAATGTTCATTTAAAGATCTGAATTCCTATCTTGTGAAAATCAAGCACACAGATTTGCTATCTGTTAACTTGCAATTTTTGGAGGGGGAAAAGAGGAGAAGAGGGTATTAAGGGGAAGCATAATTGCTGAAATATAAAATTAGCAATGAAAGTTAACAGATGTCTTTTTCTAAGTGTCTATTTTTAAAGAAACAAAGCAGTCTGGAACAGAACAGCAACTATATACAAATGATTCGAGGACAAAACAATAAAAGAGTGGATTGCCTCAGGGAATGTTACTGGAGTGGATACTGGTCCTTGGTAAAACAAAACTGACTTTTCTACAGTATGTTAAGCTACTACCTGGGAATCTGTTGTACATCTGCCTCTTCATTTCAGGATTACTAATGAATATTAAAAATCTCTGCCTGGAAAGAGGAAACTATAAATAAAAGTAGATCATCAGAGTTTTACTGAATACCAAGTACCTAATCAAACCTGACTTGAAAAGCTGCAAAACCTGTGTTGATGTAAAATACTATACTTTGAAGTCTGTTGGCTCCTGTTTGCAATGAAATACTGTTGTTTAGTTGCTTTTTAGCTACTTCTGTCCACACTGACTAGCAAACATGCAACTCTATATATACAGTAAAATCTGGTTGTACAAATTGCATATATGTGAGCTGTACGTTTTCAACTCTTAAGATGCTTTATATGGAAAACTTCCTTTTTGGGATGAAGTCTATAGGAGGAGAGGTCACAAAATGCACCACAGGAAAAGGCACTTCGAAAAAGCCAGTGTTCTAACGGTAATGGAGGCTGGTCCCGTGTTGTAGAAAATGTGGTTACTTTGTTTTTCGGTACAACCTGAACTCTTTCTTTGGGACACACTCTGCCACAGAACAGTACGAGAGAGAAACTGGAAGATTATTCTCGAAGGACTAATCTCTGTAAAGTGAGGGGTGCTGGGAGAGTTACCTGCTCCATTAGCTGCTGCATGAAGTGTGCTCTATTTTTTCACTCTCAAGAGAAAGGAAGTTATTAAAAGCGTCACTGTTGCTTTTACCTCTGATAGTCTCCTGGCTTCCGTGTTCCCTTCCCTTATTTATCTAGTCTGTGCTCCTTGGCAAAACTCTTTCTTTAAATAGTTTCAATCCTACTACAACCTTTTTTAAAGACCCTCTCTTTTGTTTCCTTATTACTGAGCTCTTGAATTCTTTCTCTCCAGAAAAATTCCTGTGAGGCTTTAGGTGATGGAGTCTATGACCATCTGCCAGTGGAGGGGTTGTCATCTCATCCATTGGCTCTTCCCTGGTTACACACACACCAGCTGTGGGTGCTTGGAGGTGGCATCAGAGATGCCCCAGAAGCATCTGGTAGGCAGTATAAGATAAAGCCTGGCCCTAGGCTTGGCTGGGCAGCTGGTCCTTATTCCAATGGGCACGAGAACACTTAGATGGTCTGAGCAGGAAGTGTGATAACCTACCTGTGGCTGCATATTGAGGAGGAAATCCAGCCCCAGCCTCCAGGTACCTCAAGTGCTGTTAAAGAAGAGGAGGCTTGGGGGGGTGGTGGGGGGAAAAGGTAATAAAAATACAATAGGCTCTCAACAAAGTGTGATATAAAGTGTGATACTTTGTTTGATACCTTCATTGCAGTATAAGATAAAGCCTGGCCCTAGGCTTGGCTGGGCAGCTGGTCCTTATTCCAATGGGCACGAGAACACTTAGATGGTCTGAGCAGGAAGTGTGATAACCTACCTGTGGCTGCATATTGAGGAGGAAATCCAGCCCCAGCCTCCAGGTACCTCAAGTGCTGTTAAAGAAGAGGAGGCTTGGGGGGGTGGTGGGGGGAAAAGGTAATAAAAATACAATAGGCTCTCAACAAAGTGTGATATAAAGTGTGATACTTTGTTTGATACCTTCATTCCCCTGGCCCCAGCATGACTCTCAGCATGGATATAGTTACAGGAATCCCCCCCTTCTGACCAAAAAAAACAAACATAAAGGCTTTACAAAACTAACAAGCACAAACCTACATTCCAATGAGACCAACCTGAATGTCTGGATTTTTTCTCATCCACATCCGTGTGTTTATTTTCTAGTTTTTCCCAATGTGTTAACTTTCATACGTCTTCCACTCGTGTCCTCTTTCTCCCTCCCCTCCTCCCTCCCTCCCCCCCTCAGAGGTCTTGCATTATACCTAAAGTTACCTTTACCTCTTCCTGCCTGACCACAGGAACAGACGTGGACTTGGTCACCATGTTCAAGTTTTCTAGGTGAAAAATCTTGTAGCACAATATCCACTCCCTTTCACAACTGCAACTATCCAAGAATCCCTTTTTCCAGGATGCATATTCTAAAATAGATGGGTGTAAACGAGCTGCTTGGCACCTTGCCTCTGGCCTTGGCTGCAAATGGAACACCAGTTGTGTGACCTCTTCCTGTGGCACATGGAGAGAACCTACAGAAGAACTGAGGGAGGTTACACGCATTATTGTGGCTGCTTCTTGGTGACAAACACTGTGTTTTGAGATGCCGGCAGTACTTGACCGCTTGCATTTTGTACGTCTTTATATTATTGCAAAACAGTAAATAGTTTTGCAAGCAGTCTGTGGCTAGTTGTTGCTTATCAGTTAAAAGGGCAGAGATCTCTTCTATGGCACATCCAAAAAAAAGGAAAAAAAAAGTTTGTTTTTGACAACAGAGTCTTCTTTTAAGCCAAAAAGTATTGCATCGGATTGGAGATAATCTGGGAATGTAAATGAAACATTATGCAAACTAACCTCAATTATTTTTATTTCCTTTCTCAGAAGGGAGCATACAGACAGAAAAGTGGTTCACTGTGGAAGGAAAGTTATAAAATAACTTGTATACAAACATAAGAAACCGGTTTAAGCCTTCAGCATGTATTGTAGGGGAACTGAATAAGCTCTTTTGAAGAAACAGCCTGCATTTTAAAGCAACTACTGCTGTGAAATGTAAAGCCCAAAGATTCCAGTGACTAAGCACTGACTTTTATGTGTTTAATGCATTTGGGAACCTCCCAGTCAGTTCTTTCTTTTTAATAAGGTGAATGTGCCCATAAATTAATAGCACTTAGATGATTGCTTCATGGTACAGCTCTTAAGTATTGTTAATAATGGCCTTAACCTGGGAGTAGGAAAAAGCGGTTCCTGACAGCCTGTAAAAATGTAAAGTTGCATAATACATAAACTTTCATAATCAGGGAGAAAAATGGAACCCCCCCCCAACCCTCAGCCCCCTACTCTGCTCATCACCTTTAGAAAATAGGGGCTTAAATCAGTAGAATATTGAATGAATCACTGTGCCACTAAATGCTTGCTTATTTTGAACATAGAAAGTAAAGAGAAAAAAGATTAGTTAAAAGCGATGCCTTATACATTACTAAAAAAAATATAAAATAAAAATCCAAAGAAAGACACACCCCCCCAGACCCACAGTAAGCTACATCAGAATGCTTGTCTTTTGGACTGGGAGATAACTGGAGGCTAAAATACAAAAATATGTATGTTCAGTAAAGGTCTTTCTACTATCTGTGATCCTGAGTCTGTGCTCTTGCCGGTGTAGTTCTGTGTTTGTGCTAAGCAGCCTGTGAGAGTTCCATTTTAAGCAAGTGCTGTGTGTAACAGGAATTGCTCCTATTCAGCAATGGCTCATTGCGATGCACTTATTTTTCTTGTGCACTTCATACTCCACTGAACAGCTGAACGTGGTCACCACGATCCCCAACAACAGCCTGTTTCATACAATACTAAGGCACAACATGCTGCAAACTTCAGAACTGAGTGGGTGTAAAAAAAGCAGCTTGAAAGCTTTGTGTATTTTTACTGCTGTAACAAAGCATGTTTTTCTCTGTTCTTGATGTTTTGCTAAATAAACATCCCATGTTTTGTGCACAAATAGTCCTTAAACTTTCAAAGGCTGGCTCTGAGAATGAGTTAGGGAAAGAAACTGATGTATCAGGTTGCCCTAAACGAGCCTTAACTGCACCCCCGCCCCCAGTGGTAGGTAGAGCGGAATTAGCTGCTGCTGGAAAGGAATGTACCGTGTGGTTTCTCTAATAATAATTAATATTAATTAAAAATATTATTCTTATGGCTCTATTCACTTCTTTGGGGGCTTGGAGTTTTGGGAGTGTCAGGAACAATAATGATTAGAGTGTGGAATTAGCTTGTTCTGTGTGCTCAGAGGGAATTCTTTTCAGGTGTCTTTGATGATAGTCTCTCCATACAGGAATTGCTGTACTGTATCATGTCAGGTCTCAGGGTACTGCCTGGGTCTTACAGAATCACAGAATTCCCCAATCACAGGTTGGAAGGGACCTTAAAGATCATCTTGTCCAACCATCAACCTAACTGACAAAAATAGTCACCCACACAACAAACAAACAAGGAGCATCATCACTAAACCATACCTCCCAGCACTACATCAACCCGTCTTTTGAACACCTCCAGGGATGGGGCCTCAACCACCTCCCTGGGCAGCCCATTCCAATGCCTGAGAACCCTTTCAGTGAAAAAATTTTTCCTAATATCCAGCCTGAACCTCCCCTGGCACAACTTGAGGCCATTTCCTCTTGTCCTGTTGCCTGTGACTTGAGAAAAGAGACCGACCCCCACCTCTCTACACCCTCCTTTCAGGTAGTTGTAGAGAGCAATAAGGTCTCCCCTCAGCCTCCTCTTCTCCAGGCTGAATAACCCCAGTTCCCTCAGCCTCTCCTCATAAGACTTATTCTCCAGACCCCTCACCATCTTTGTCGCCCTTCTCTGGACCCGCTCCAGCACCTCAATGTCTTTTTTATGGTAGGGGGCCCAAAACTGGACACAGTACTCAAGGTGAGGCCTCACCAGTGCCCAGTACAGGGGGACAATCACCTCTCGGGCCCTACTCACCACGCTGTTCCTGATACAGGCTGTTCCTGATACATCCCCAAAATCCAGATCACCGAACAAGCATATCTGGGAGTGTGGGGGAGGCTGTCGAGGGTTCCGCTTCCCACTCTGAGGCAGGACCCTTGGTTTTTCTGATGTTTCAAGCCAAGACGCTCCATCCTCCTCTCCAGCAGCCAGTTCCTCTTCCAAAGATCCCGTATCGGTTCTGGAGGGGTAGCTGGGGAGGTGGGAGGGGCAGGGAGGAGATTTGCCTGCTTCGCCTGGCAGGGACTTTTTTCCATCCCCCCCTCCTCTTCGAGGTCCCCTTCTACTGCCGGGTGAGAAGTGGGGGGATGGTCCTCTGTTGTATGTGGGGCCCCAACACGTTCCCTTACTCTCAGGGAGTGGGCCCACCAGTCTATCTCCTTCTCGCACTCCCTGATGGTCCTCAACCTTTCCACTTCCTCCTTCAGCTCCACCACCAGGCTGAGGAGATCAGTCACCTGTTGGCATCTCACACAGGTGTTGTCCTCACTACCCTCCATGGCAAGGGCCAGGCCCCGACACTCCCTGCAGCCAGAGGCCTGGACACCCACATGTTTACATGGGGCCTCTGTCTGAGTGCCCACGGCTTTCTTAACGATGGCCTTCGATCTAGTTCTGCCCATAGCTTGTCTGTTGGCAAGAGACAGTGCCAGTCGTGTAACTACTGAAAGAAACTGAGCTTACCTTGTACAAAGGAAGAGATTCAGGACGCTCTTGTACAAGTCACAGCGACGTGAGGCACTGACCAAGACACGCCCCCGAGCACCGCTTGTGGCTCTGTGGGCCGAGGCCTCCCCGGGGCTCCTTATCAGGTGTGACGAGCCGCCGGAGGTGCTGGCGCCGCCCAGGCCCCTCAGCAGCCCGCCCACCGCCTGTCAGCCTCGGCCACGAGGAGAAGGCTTTGCCCTGCGTCCAAAAAGCCCCCAAAAGAGCTTTTCGTCGGCCTTTTCCAGCTACAGATCCCTCACCCAGCGCAGTCTTACCTGGCCTGGAGCCGGTCCCTGCCGCTATATTACCACTGAGTAGGAAAAGCTGTCACAGCCTGAAGGGAAAAATTATTTTGTTTTTAAATGCTTAGTACACGATGTTACTGACCCTCAGGGATCAGCCCCTCCTGGGATCCTGC